CTGGCAGAACTAATATTCTATAGAACATAGTTTGGAAAAAATGTGGGCAAAAAAATCCCTAGCCAAATATATATATATATTTGGTAGGGATAAGCTATTTTTAAAGTAAATAGGTTCATAAATATAGCTCAGTAGTAGAACACTTCCTTAGCAAGCATGAGGCTCTGGGTTGTATTCCTAAAACCACACATACACACAAAAAAGTAAAAATCCCTCAACAGACATCATTGAAAAAAAATCTTTAAACAGCCAAATTATCTTTAATTACAATTTAGGAACACATGGCTCTGATAAGCATTAAATTTTTATGTCTTATGAGCACTATATGAGATAAGAGTATTTTTTGGGAAAAACTGCCTAGGTAAAATACCACGACAAATTTTAAAAGAGCCAATGTTGAAAATTTCAAATTATTATCTTTAAGCATCTGTTTGTCACTGTCTCCTCCAACATTTCCCCTTACAGATGGATCATAATCGTTACATTTTTCTAGTTGCAATCCATATGTTATGTAATCATAATTTGGTTCCCTTCTCCCCAGGGTCAGTGAATCACATAATAATAAGTGAACAAAGAGGCAGAAAACATGTTAGCATTTTTAAAGGGAGGGATGACATGGGCTGGAAGGGACAGAAATGTTAAGCTCTAGTGTGGAAGGAAGCAAAAGCACATCTCATGCAACTATCGTCCAAACCACCAAAAGAGTAAAAGGGAGAAAAATGTGACAAAATCGTCAGTGGGTGTGCAGCCAGCCTAAATTCTAGGAGGCAATACGACTTAGCCCCAGCTAGATGCAGTGAAGAGTTAAGTCAGCAAGGACAGTAGCAATTAGTAATTTGTTCCAAAGGATTAATTTCTAGATTATTAGGGCTCAGGTGTCTGCTGGAAATTAGTAACAGCTGTGCAGAAATTGTCTCTACCTGCGAGGGAGAGAAGGGCAGACTTTTGACAGGGGAACGCTTGGGAGTTGAGCTGCTGACGTCAGCAAATAGGAAGGAGCTAGAGTCTCCAGTGGCTAAGGGGCCGGCCTGGCCCCGCTTTTTTCGAAGGATGACCAGTGGAATTGTGCTTTGCCTCGAAGGAGGTAAGGCCCTGGCTGGACCAAGGGAACCCTCACTCAGCATGCGTCTGTGCACCCTCGGGCTAGGCTGTCCTGCAGGTCTAGTCCCAGAGCCCTGTCTTTGCTGCAGCTGGAGGGCTTTGCCTGTGTGATGTTGGCTAGGTGAAAAAGCTGCTTCTTCAAAGATTTCAAAACTGCTGAGATCACACCGTGCTGAAGAATCCTGAAACAATGTGGGAGGCACAGAGCTTTGAGATGGTGTGTACAGGATGAGTGCCATCATCACCTGCAACACAGCACCGCCAGCAAGGGATGCTACATGCAAGAATGCTGTGCCTGCTTGCTGGACTTCTAGCTCAGGGTGACAGTGAGGTTGCCCTTGCACGTGTGCTGTGGAGAGCACAGGCCCTCTCTTCTGCATGCAATTTAAAGCAAACAGAAAACCTTTCTAGACGGTACATAAGGGCCATAGCCAAGAGTCCTGCCCCACAAGCAGGCTATACATGCTTTTTAACCAACTGGAAAACGTAACAAGCCACTGAGTGTCTGCTGGGAGGGTACTGAGCTCAGATTGTTTCACTGAAGACAGTTTATCTCAGTGAACCGGCGCTACTGTTAATCAATGCTTTGTATTTTGTAGAGAAAGCTATGGCACAGCCTTAGCTGTTACTTCAAAGACACTGAAGGGTTGTCTTAAGCTGAAAGGAAACATAAATCATTATGTCCTATCAAAAAAAAAAAAAGCAAAGAAAATTTCTAGAGAATCACAAACGAGTAAGCAAAACTTTAAAAGATTTGTTAAAAGTAGCTTAAACACTGTTCTTCTAGCCTAAGCTCTCCTTCCTAAGCTAACAACTTTATTATTTTTAAAAGAACTATGCCTTTGGAAGCAGAGTGTGGAAAGCTGTCTTTTGTGTAGATAGCTTATGAAATCAAATCTCTAAAAGAAACACATTTCATGAGGACTAAAATTATCTTTTAACTTTACATGGATGTAGGTCAAAAACATTCACTATAGAAAATGGCAAAGATTTAGGAAATGAGTTCCCTAATTTCTCTTCTAGAAATATTAACGTGCCTTAGCAATTCTACTTACAGAATCTATAAATTGGAGTGTTTCTGCAAATTCTAAGAGGTTCTTAACATTATCCAGAATGGTGCCCTGATGGACGATCATGCACCTTGTTGGTGAGGCGCTTTCTTCAGGCAGGGAGCCGGGATCTGCAGGCAGAGATGGAGTGGAGTGGTGTTCTCCCAAACAGGAAACAGGTGCACTGTCTCCATGAGGTCTGGTGTGGTCCGCAATGGAAGTGCTGTGCCACCCTGGGTAACTGCAAGTGTGGTTCTGTGTCTGAGGAAGGGGGTGTGTAGAAATAAAGATGGGGAGAAGAAAGGAAGAAGCAGCTTAGCAACGATGTTGCACAAGGTATCAGATGCTGTGGGAGGAAAGATAAACCAAGTTGCATCATCCAAAACTTATGCCTGGGAGACAGTTGTCAAGATGTTTCCTTTTTGTCGATGCAAGACCTGCTTTTCAAGAGTGCTCTAATTTGGACCTACAAGATTGCCTTAGTTACTATGATTTTATTCAGGCTGTAAACTTTGGGACTATGCTGCAAAATAGAAGTCTTAGAGTCTCTTAGAAATCTATTTAAAATGAATTTGCAAACTGTCCATGTTTGTTGTGACTGAAGAATGGTCTTATTTGCATTCTAACCTACTGAAAGGATTCAAGAGTTAGTTACTTTTATCTGCACATATCCTGTTGCTTCTATTCTTTTCTAGGACTACAGATTGCACTGATGTAGAGAGGGCTGCCAAGTCAGGAAAGCAGAAGATCAGGCTAACAGAAATCTCCTTACAGCATGACCTCGCAAGAGGAGAAATTGCAAAATATTAAAGTTCAAAAGTGGTAAAACTAGCATATGCACATTATTTTATTATGTAACAATAAAAAGAAATTTCACCCTAAGAGTCCCTACTGGGTATCCGGATTATCTGGGTATCACTTTTTTCCTACTTACTTTGTAGGTTAGCCACATGTGTTCCAGGTGCAAGCTGCTTTCCCAGTTTGCTGCCCATCCACAGGATTCAGAAATGACCCCCACAAGGGTAAGGGCTGAAGTTCAGTGGATGAGTGCTTGCCTAGCGTGCATGAGGCCCTAGGTTCAATCTCCAGTAGTGTCACAAAAAAGTGGTGAGTGAGGTGGGGCTGGGAAGATGGCTAAGTGTATAACATGCCTACCATGCAAGCATGAGACTCTCAGTCTGGATCCCTAGAACCCACAGCAGTGAGTGCCTGTAACCCTAGTGCTGGAAAGGCAGAGCCAGGCAGATTCCTGAGCTCACTGGTCAGGCAGCCTAGCCAAATGGACGAGCTCCAGGTTTAGTGAGAATCCCTGTCTCAAAAAATAAGGTAGAGGGCCAGCAAGATAGTTAAGCATATAAAATCACTTGCCTCACAAGTCTGACAATCCAAGTTTGAGCCCCAGAACCCAGTAGAAGGAGAAAATTGATTCTAGAAAATTGTCCTTTGATGTCTACACGTGCACTGTCACACGTGCACTTGCATACCCCCAAACAGCACATACACTAATAAATTTTCCAAAAGGTGGTGATCAATCAAAGAAGACATTTGGTGTCAACCTCTGGCCTGTGTACACATGTACACACATGTGCATATGCACCTTCACACATGTGCACACACCCATGGGAATATGTGTACATATAGGCACACACACACAATAATAATAATAGAAATGGCCCACATAGCTTTGATACATACAAGACAGCAGCTACTATTTAAGCAGAGGTAACATATCCCATTTCTACATGTATATACTAAAAATGCATCAAATTATGTTTGAAAATATAAAATAAAATATGTAGATACAGAGTAAGACAATAACAGAAAAAAATCAAATAAATAGATACCACACAAATTGAAAGCTTCGTAAAGAAAAAAAGAAGCAGATTTTCACTCATTTTATCTTTCCTAGTTTTCAAATTGATGAAAATCTCTCTAAAAGAAACACTGGATGATGACAATCACAATTGGATATTGTGGTTCTATTACAAAACAAAAAGATACTGCTGATACTAACAGCATTCCATTGAAACAGTGATAATGGATATACATATCCTTGGCTTATACAATATTTAGAAAAGGAGAAACAGGACACAGAAGAGTGTTGGGATAAAGTCATCACATGGTGACATTCTTACTGGCAATGCCTGCTGGCCTTTCAGCTCATTCTCAGTCGACATTAGGAGCAACTCTAATTCCTTTATTCGCTTTTCTTTCTCAGGGTCTTCATCATTATAGTGTCTCTGGAATTACAAGTGAAGGAGAGAAAACACAAGTCTGAGTGGAAACTATACGAACAATGGTTGTAGCAGGTAGTCTTGGGGCATCTTACACTGCCCAGAGAGCTGCAGTGTGAAACCAACCCCAGCAGAATTCACCCTTACAGAAATCTTTCTGAAGGTTCAATGGGGTTTAAGGCAGCAAGCTGAAAGCTGAGGGCACAGTGCATGCTGATGGATGCCTCAGAAAACTCCTGCGTGAACTCTTCCCAGAAGTCACAGGTGCTAGACAGCTAGCGCCAACTCAGTCCTCCATGCTGGTATTAGTTTTTCTTCTGGTTTTTGTTTGTAACATATGTATTTAGATGGAATAAATAAAGTAGTTCATAAAACTGGTGCCTTGTACAGCTGAGGAATCTGTATGTGACCAGCTTACCTGAATGGCTGCAGCAGCTGGCTGAGGGACGTTGACTATATTTACATGTAAGGCTACAGGATATGGAACATGGCTGGAGACCTAGTTGGAGAAGAAGAACAAAGGCCAAGTCAGTCATGATTACATATGCTTCAGAGGACTCGGTTCTTAGGGTTTTGTTCTGGGGCTGAGGGAAAAAGTACTTTGCTGATAAAATTCACTGAACAACTAAAACCCAAAACACCCGCCTCTAACTTGAAATTTAGCCAGGCATTTAAAAATGACTTACTAGCTAAAGTAGTAGAGGGAAGCCTAAAGTGTTCATCAAGCCCAACAGAAAGCATTCCTTAATTAGAGAAAAGTACAATGGAAAAATATTCATGAGTGTGTAAAAGAAGTTTGAGAGAAACTGACAGCACTGGCTGTTTGTAACTCAGAACATTTTTCTTGGAATAATTTTGAGTTTTAATAAAAAGCACAGAAGCTTTTATGGTGATTCATTCACTGGAGACCTTTCTGGAAAGTCTGTAGTCAAATCTAAGGAACAGATAGAGCCAAGTAGAAATGACTCATGAATATGTTTTACATAATATTTGCATATGATCTCTGTAATTCTTGGGTAAGTTTCACCATTTATTATTGTTAGTTCTATAATAAGCATTTCTTGATTTTTTCCTCTTTATTCTTCATTTCCACACTCTATACATTATTTCTTCCCCTAGATATAAATGTCTAGAAATGGGGAAGGAATGCTACCAATCCAAATGAAAATAAAGTGAAACATCATAGAATCAATACCACAACACTCTGCTCTGGACTCAGTAAGAAGGCAAACATTTACTGAGTGAATCAATTACTATACTTCTGCTAGGTATCACTAGAATTCAACTCATAACCACCCTTTGTAGGTCAGAGCTTAACTATCCTCTTTAAGTGTAATAATACATTCACTTTTCATTTGTGAAAAGAAAAATATTAGGCTACAAATGTAAGTCCCTTCCCCCATTCTTAAGACTTCAGAGTATTTTAAGTAAATTTACATCCAAAAGCTAACTTTAAATCAGATGTGGAATAGCAAGCTAGAACAAAACAACTCAGATTCTATTCAGTACTACTTCTATGAGCTGTACACAAACTATTTCCCATTCTTGTTTCCAGAAACAAAAATCAGAGAGAATTGCCTCTTCCCCTGTGTACTTCAAAGGGTCTATCTGAGGATTGTCTGTGATCATGCTTATGGAAGTTCTATGACAAGCACACAAGCAGGAAGCATTTTTATGACCTGGACCTCAAGGAAATAACTCTCTCACATTCCACTAACTTCTCAGGAATGGCTTACACTTTGTGCTTCAGAAACGTGGTAATAGGAATAGTCACTGTTCACAGGGGACTGGCCAGTAGGAGGGAGCTGAGAAGGTGGGGCATGAGCAAAACTCATCAAATGATTGTTCTTCTGGAAGCTGGGGGCTACTGCTGGCTGGCTGGCTTTTGAAGACTCCTGTAGATAACCTTCCTGTTCCACCTTCCGACGCATTGTGGAATTCCAGTGGTTCTTGATAGCATTATCAGTTCTGCACAGAAATATATCACATACAAAATTTACAAAAATTTTAATTCAGATTAGAGTTAATTGACAGAAAACTGTTTCTAACAGAAATCTCTTCTGTGGTTCTACTAACTGTTATTTTTTTTCTTTTTAATTGTTTTGATCTTTTCTACCTTGAAAGATCATGCTTGCCCTACTGTCTCATTTTAAATCCTTAAATTTTTTTTTCTTACTAACATAAGCTGGAATTTTCTACAACTTTTAACATCTTCTTAGTATTTTGATTCCTTGGTAAAGGAGTCTGTTCAATATAATAATATTTCATATTGATTTTGACAATCCAGGTGCCACCAGACTTTAATACAACATAAAAGTTCCAGCTATTGTAGTATTTTTTTTCTTAGATTGTGGCTTAGCAGGGCCTACATACCACATAGGGACTTGGCCAAACTTGGAATAACAGTGATTCAACCTCAATGCCTACTCTTTGTTGCCTATAACTCTAGGGAGAAAGTTTGAACAAAAAAATTGCTCCTACCTTTTAAAAGCCACTTGTAACTAGACAGAAATAGGAGCGGAAAATGGGATAACAGGATTCCTCTTCACCCCCAACAGGATCCCAAATGAAAGATGCTAACCCCAGTATATGTTTTTTTCCTTTTCAGGGAGTAGGGCTTGCTTTTTGAGACAATGCCTCACATAGCCCAGGCTGGACTTGAATTTCACATCCTCAGGCTTGCGTACTAAATGTTGGGATTGCAGGCACACACCACCACACTCAGCTTCCTAGTGTAGTTTCAAACTGCAAAGCATTTTTATTAAACTTTTTCTATTCTCAGGAAAAGTTTTCCAGCTTAAAAAAAAAAAAAAGCAAAACAAAACAAAACAAAAAAACCCAAACCAAAAAACACCCCAAACATTCAAGACTCCCTTTTACTATTTCCATGGGGGTGGGGGAATGTGTGCTAAAGAAAGAGGAACTTCAATCAACCCATCAATTTTTAGAAAAATCAATAGCATATCCTCTCAGACAACATGGGAGAAAAGGCCTCTTTTGACCAAACTCTTGATTTCTCAAAAGTTCTTGAGTCACAGAGAGGAGATGCTTTGGAGAGTCACAAGGAAACACTCTGTAAGCCATCTTTAAAATATTCCTTTTTCTAACTTTGAATCAAGAAGTCCCCAAATAAAAACAACTTTAATATTTTCACCTTAAAATTCAGCTTGCAAAATGTTTTCACACTTATTTTACTCATAGCATTACCTCTGTGAAACAATTACTAGCCGTTCTGGAAACTGGGAAATGAAGGTTGAAGAAAGTTAAAAGACGTGGCTCAAGGCTCACCATTGAGACTAACAGTTCAACTGGATAAATTCTAAGATCTCTTCCACTTCCAAAATTCTGTGGTATTGGCTTATCTAATGAAATGATCATAATTGACGGTCAATAGTTCACTCATACACTTAGAATGTTCAATACCCACTCCATTATCTTCCCCATCAATATTTTTTTTTTTGACAAAGTATTACCGTCCAGGCAGTAGCTTTGCGATTTCTGCCCATCTGTTCCCCAGTCTCTTGTGTGCTTGGTAAATAATTCTGTCTTCCTCTTCTGTCCAGGAGGTTTTCTTAACTTCTGGATTCAAGTGGTTATGCCACCTCTCCCTGCATTGTTTTCCAATTCTCCCCTTTAAGTGCTTGGCAATAACAGACCAACGTTTTGGACCGTATTTCTGTACAAGCTCTATCACCTGCAGATAAACACAAAAATAATCTGTGTCTTAATGTTACAGAATGAGTCAGCATCATCAAGCTTCAGTGTTATGAGATAGTCGGAGAACTAAAAATCTGCTTCCATTCACTAGAAAGATGGGAAGCAAGTCCTTTACTTCCCATGTGGACATTTTTACTTGCTTCCTCCAGGTTGGGAAACATGTTTTAGGAATAGTCTTAACTAGGATTCACACATCTATGAAAACAGAACTTACTCTCTGGTCTTCTTCTTTGGTCCAGGGACCCTTGATGAGCTCAGGGTTTAACACTTTCTGCCATCGGTGTTGGCATTGCACATCTGTCCGATTCTAGACAAAGCACGCACCGTCACAAGGATAAGATGTAATGAACACAGGAAGACTTTGTTCAGCGTGAATCTTACGTGGACAATATGTAGTGAAAACATTCAAGAACATTTAGAGCCTTGTGTAGAGAGCCTTCCTCTCCTGCATTGCCTAGAGGCTAAAGAATGTTCAAAGCTGCTTCTACGACTGGAATCTCTGTCTCCGGAAGGAGACAGCCCTGTTACATGAATAAAAGGAATACCAAATTGCACATGTATGTGTCAATTTAATTTAACCTCAGTCTGTAGTGTATGATGGAAGTACCCTCATGGCTTAAAATTTGTTAGAAACTCCATTCTGCCAGGTTTCAGTGAAAATCCATTCTAAAGGAATTGGCCTCCCATTCAAACTACACAATGTTTAGTTCGGAACCACACTCATATTGAGAAGGAATGAAAATAAAAGGTCCTATTTTATGGGACCTAATAATCTTATAAGAACAAAAAGATAATGTATAATTGATTATCACAGAAGGTTAAATTTGTTTTATATGCAAGGAGAGACCAAAGCAAAATGTTGTTGGGGCGAGGACAGAAGGGTACCCTTAGGAGACATTGCTGCCGTAGGAGGAATACAGGAATACAAACAGACTCTAGACATTAGTCAGAATTTTTAACTAGAGAAGCAAAAGAGAACATTCCAGGCAACGAAATCACCAGGAACAAAAGTCCAGAGGAGAAAAAGCAGAAATGAATACCACCAAACCTGCTTGTGGAGAGGAAGTAGAAAACAGAGGGGGCAGAGGGGGAGCCGATGGGACTGTAAGTTGAGACAAACAGGAGAGTTTTTCTGTGCCAGGCAAGGCTGTTCACTTGATTTGTGACATACTATGTTGCAAATGGTGGGGCTTTTGTTTGTGCAGTTGTTTGTTATTTGTTTATATGGGGTTAGAGATTAAACCTGGGGACTGACATATGCTAGGCAAGCACTTGGCCAGTTAGGAATAAATGCAGTTTAGGAAGCGCCAGCCACTATAATGTTTGGAATTGATGGAAAAGTAAAAAGCTACACCTGGTGAAGTTCGTGAGGGAACTACTGCAATAGACCAGATGAGTGGACAGGGCAGCCATCCTGTGGCCAGACCAGAGGAACAGAAAGGGTGAAATGTGAAAGAATTCCAGGCTCCCCAGTCATTCTTTGGATTGGGGGTGGTGGTGGTGGTTAATAAGTCCAAAAGAACTCTAGAATTTTAAATCCATGTGCCAAAAATATAGCTATTGATGAAAATGGGGAATGTAGAAACTGGCTTTGAGAAAAGATCAAGTTTAATCCTCTACCATGTACCAAACCATCAGAATGTTAATTTACATTATCCTAATAAATCAAATGACAAAACAAGAAGCAATTGTCGAAATAACTCAAAATCTTTTAATAGTATATTTAGAAACCTCAATTATATGGGTTACAGTACAAAATATAAATTATGGATGGAGCATCTGTTCCCTTATGTCTATGTGGGCAAGTATGTAATCTCTTAATAACCTTTCCAAGTAATTTTTACTGAAATCCTTGGGGGGAGATTTTCTTTTACAAAAAGGAAAAATTACGAACATACCGGGAGATAGTTGGCAATTACTTTCCAGTCATCCGTCCCATTCTGCTCCACCAGCTTCTTTAGCTTTTCATCCTAAGACATTTAAAGGTGATCCTCAGGTATCAGTCATTTACTGAACAAAGGAACCAATCCCACAATCCAACCCAGAAAAATAAACCTTTCAAAAGCATCCAAATATAGTCAATATTGGTGTAATATACTGGTTTTGAGAATAGATTTATTTACAGTCATATTAAAGCTTTCACTTTGGCAAAGCTATTGACTAGTTATACAACAGACTAGTATTGTCATCTATAAAATGGGAATATTGATATCACCAGGGATATGAAGGGACTATACAATGTAAAATATTTATAGTAATGCCTACCATGTGTTAAATGTTTATTACATGATAACTGTTAATACTTTCACTGAATGGAGAAAAAGTGAATCCCAATGTTAAACTCAGTAGCCATTTAACAGGGCAAGAGATAAAATTATAAGATAGAATATTCTCTTAGTTCTTCCATATAAAAAAGAAGACAACATTTCATATTTAACTTGAAGGCAGTAAAATCATTTAGGTTTTGTATCAATATATTCAGAATTTATGAAAGACCAAGAGTATTAGAACATGGAAGGCACTAGACATTCCCAGGTAGCTGGTTCTATCAGTTCATATACTGTTCACCATCCTATTAGTTGACAAGTGCCTTTCTAAACGTATTTAAAATTTTCTGCAAAGATACCACTCAGAGGAAATGAAGGATCCTGGTGCAAGACAGAAACTGGAAACCAGGGTTAATAACAGCACTTCCATATCCCAAAGGATCATCTAAGTGCTTGAGCTTGATAGGTGGGATGTACATTTCCTAGGTGCTTCCCTAGGAATCTTGTCTACCTGTTCCCAGAGGTTCATATTACAGAATGCAATAAATCTCATGGTTCAGTAAAGAAAAAGAAACTCTTCTTCATACATTAATGATTGCGCTCCTCAAAGAAGCAGATATATTATCCCTCATTATTGGACACTTTTAGAATAATGTGCATAGGTCTGTGAAATAGAGAATATTAGATGATCCTTTTATAAGAGTTCTGTGAATGTTTTATTTAGGAAATGACAATGTATTCGTTTATGCAGAGAACATTCATCCTACATTTTACCAAGTTATTCTGGGCTCAAAGAAAACAAAAGATGAAGAGACTCTTGGTCTTCACCCTCAAGTTACTTGAAGTCTGCTGGAAGAGACATGAACGTAACAGCACCACTATACTCAAGCATGCACTCAAGTGGCATGGGAACATAGAAGGGTGCATCCAGTCTTGTGGAAGTTTCACAGAAGAGGCACTGGGCTTGGATGTAATGAAGCAGTAGCAGGAAGTGGTGGGGCTCCAGAATGAGAAATGGCAGGCAAAGCATAAAGGGAAAAGGAACCAAAAACTGAAGAATAGCTTGGAAATGGGAGAGGTGGAGTGAGCATGCTGCCCAGCATGCCAGGATAAGCTCTCTGAGTCTGCAAATGAGCAGAAGCACATTCAGCTTTGCTAAAATGTTGTTTTCACCAATTATAGATGCTACATTTTTCTAGGTTTTGATAAAGTGACTAGTTACCTCCTCCCGGGTCCACCTAGTTTTCCCCAAATGACGCTTTCCAGACTTGGGAAGCAGCCCGTCATAATCATGGTCACACATCTCAATGTCTTCGTCGTCTTCATCGCTACTGTATATGCTGCAGAAACAAGAATGGGCAGACATAGGCTGAAATCAGAGGACCTCAGCTATGGGATTATGAAACTTACACAAAAACACTTCAGCAAGCTCTTCAAAGTCTATGAAGATAAAACTTTGGAAAACTTGCACAATGAGATTGTTTTCTGTTTTTGTTGCTGTAGTATTGTAAACTGGTTCTGCTGTTATTGGTATCCACAGATACAGCAAAGGACCTGGCACTTTCCTATTGCTCTGCATGTTTAAACCTGCTGTTACTGTTAGATCAGTGACAAGTTACACATCTGGCAACCTTCCAACCAATGGACGAGTAAATTTAAAACTCAGTGTTAAGGAAAAGAACAGAAACAAGAGGCCATGTCCTTTATATAAGTGCACACTCAAAATCTTTGGCATGTGTCAAATCGTTTAAATATTTCCTGAACAAAATGAACCAATGAATTATATTCTAATAGAGCTTGTGCTCTATTAAAATAAAAAAATCAAGAAAGAATACATTCAAAAGCATAACTGCAATCATTCCTTAAAGATCAGAAGATTTGAAAAACGTAAGAGGGAAGGGTTTTAAAACCCGAGGGAGACTAAGGCCATCAAACTGTTTTGCAATTAACATAAATATCAAATTTTTCAAAGCTCTGGGCCTGGTTGACCCAACTTGTGGCCATGTTTACAATACTGTTTCCCAGAGTAACCAAGTGAATAACTAGGGCACCAGTTAGTCAGAATCCTACTTACTCTTGTTTTCTGTGTCTCTGACTGAATGTGTCTAAAATATCTTAAAATGTACCTAATTAAAAACCAAGGGATTCCCCCATATGAAATCTACAGGTTAAAAAAAATTACTGTTTTCAAAAGAGCTAATTCTTTTACTGAGTTTGATGACTGCTGAAGTTACTCTAAGCTTAAGTTCATTAATCATATACTGAATAGTGTAATTCTGTAGTTTGGTTTTAGATATAATTTTTCTTATAAAATTTAAGATATTAAAAAATCATATACTTCACAACCTCACTAAAATTCATCACTGTAAAACTGAAAAACCCATCAATACAGACCAATTAAAATGATATAAAGCAGTATCATAATGCAAGTTATCTTTTAAAAGCAAATTTACATTCATAACAGGTTTTGTCTTCCAAAACTAACTCACAAATGTATACTTCCAATCTGCTACAAGTTAAGCAAAAGTGTTTATCAAAACTCTTGAGTTGGGAATCTCATCATTTAAAACTATTATTTTGGGCATCAAGTTGATGGTTTAGGTTGCATAGTAACAGGATGTGATCTAACTTTAAACACCACCAAAAAAAACCCCACTAAACTGTATTCATAATCTGTAATCACTTTTTTTCCCCATTTAGGGTCAATCCTTTGAACCTTCTGCTCTGTTGAACCAAGAGCAGAATTCTGTTTCATACAGAAAACAGGAGGCAGTACATAACTTTTACCAAAAGTAATGAAAAGTTTCCCTTTAATACAAAACACAGTGTGATAAGGTTAATAAAATAGTAAAAGTCCAGAGGCTGTATGTAAATCAGTATCTTTCTATGGGACTCCCTTTTGCTAGGGAACTCCTTGGAAAGCCTCTCAAATAAGGCAACCTTTTGTGAAGTATCAGGGATACCAAGAAAGTCAAAGTAATCCAAAAGCGGAGCCACAAGACTTAATTCACGTTAACCTTTTAGGTTTGGCTAGAGCTGGAGATGACATTTTTGGAACTGTGGGCAATTTCCAAACTAATACCTGGGCCTCTCTCTGATCACAGCCTCATCTAAGAACAAGCAACATAGTCGCCCACAGGGGGCAGTCAACAGCCAGGTGAGGGAGAACCCGACTCACAGGAACAGGTTCTAGTAGCGAAATGCCAGTCCTAGTTCTGTCTGAACCCAGGAGGTGTTTGACTTGTACAAATCTCCTCCCCTCCCTCCTCCCCTCCCTTCCCTGCCGACCCTCCCTCTCTACCGTCCTTCCTAGGCTTCTGCCTAGGCACCTGGATTCTATATCCATAGGTCTTAAGATTCTATTTCTAAGGTGTTTCCAAAGCGCATAAAAAGTGCCTCTTAAAAAGCAAGCACAGAGCAGAGGACGTGCAAAGCCATTCTGAGGGGAAACGTGGCTGTGACTTGCAGATAGATCCTGAAGGGCCTTAAGGGCAGCAGGGCTAGTGCACACTATCGGCAGTCTCGGCAAGGGGCTCCCTTGAAGTTTTGCATGCGATTTCCTTAGTCTAAAATGACCTGGTCGCCTCGGTAGCATGATTAATTTCGACAAAGGACCTGAAATAACTTTTCCTTTATCTGCTCTGACAAGATCTCAGACCCAACAGTCAAAGGACTTTCAAAGGCTGATTTCAGGCTTGATGCTCTCGACTCCTCCACCTGCTAGACCCGGTGTGGTTACAAAAGTACAACTATGAATACTACATTCTGTCAAGGAAACAAACCGTGCAAAGAAACGAAAAAGAGGTGCTGCTGCTGGTGGTGGGGTTGGGAAGAGGGAGGGGAGCGGGAGGAAGTGCCTGTGGCCGCTACATGATTCTAGAAAAGGGGTTCAGACTCATTTCGCTGACCTGGTTAATAATCCCTGCCGAGTCGACGCTCGCCCTGCAAGAAACGGCTGAGAGCCCGCAGCCGGGTTTCTCCCCTCACCCCACCCGGGTCCCCCGCCCCTACTCCCAGCCAGGTTCAAGGCTCCCGCCCCTCCCGGCTGCCTTGGTCCCCGCTACCTGAGAGCCGCTGGGAACCTGAGCGGCCACGCCCCGCGGGGCCACCGAGACCTGGGGCGCCCAGTCTCTGCCGCGCCTACTCGGAGCAGCCCTTCCCTCCTCCGGCTGCAGGTTTCAGCTTTCTACCAAACAGGTGACCTGGGCGCTCGGGAGTGAAGTCCCCAAAGCGAAAGGCGGAACGTCTTAGGGGCGGCAAGCCCCGGGCGAGGCGCAGGGAGCCAAGAGCCAAGGCCCCCAGATGTCGCCCCCTCTTGCCCCGATGGCCAGCGGTGCCCCGGGCAGCTCCCCTGCTGGCCTTGCCGGAGGGTGCGCGGCAGGGCCCACGCCCACGTTCTTTGCAACTTCCCACCGCACCGCGGGAACCAGTACCTGCTGGTTCCCCAAACCAAATAAGTTTCGCGAAAATCAAACCACCCGAGGAAAAGCAGGCGCATGGGCTTGGCCTCTGCGAACTTCCCCCCTCCCTTTGGGGTTTGTCCGGTGGCCCTGCCAGAGGCAGGGGACCTAAGGCAGCCGGAGGAGAGCTGGGGCAGCAGTCGCGACCTTAGCTGCGTCCACGTGCGCGCGGCGCGCCAGGACCGTGGGCTCGGGAGAGGAAGCCGGGAGCATCCCGGGTGCTGGCAGCTGCCTCGGGGGTGCGGTCCTCCAGCCCCGAGTGCCCAGTGGCCACCGCCACCGCGCCAACCCGCGCATCCGCAGCTCGCCGGGAGCGCCAGGGGTGGAAGCCCAGCGGTGGAAGCAGGGCAACCTGCAACTGACAGTTCCTAGGAGCGCTTCCTTCATTTTCTGCTCCCTCTTCCCATGCGTGGGGCCGAAATGGGAAGGGATTTCACCCTTCATCCCGCCCAGTGCGGTGACATGTGAGGCGCGGGCGCGCGCATTATTTGCAGTAGAAATAAAAGTCTCTTCCAGAATAAGTGCTCAAATCTTCAAATCTTCAAAAACAGAGTTTAAAACAATCTGCAAAACCATTTCGTCTCCCTAAAATCTTTGCAGCCGCCTGTCAGCTGACACTTTTCTTGCCTCGATAAAGAATGAATGAAATTTCAGTGAACTACCTGCAGCTACTAAACAATCCGGCATTTTCCTATATCTGCCATATGCTGTGCAAGTCCAAGTCCAAACAGATCTCACTGCATCCAGCAATTAGGCTGCGGCTCCCTCGCCGACCCTCGGGGCACCAAGCCAGACACCTGGTGGGTTCCCGGGTGCTGGTGGGAACCGCTCTGCCCTGGGCTGGAACCTGCTGCTTTTTTACCCCCAATAAAGAGCAACGCATGCCCGTGCAATTTGCAAAATGAGCTTCTGGGCGTGCTTCCCAAGGTCCCCTCAACACTCCTAGCAGAGACTTTTCCATTCATCAGTCTCCAGAAGCGGCTCTTGCGGCCAAGATAGGGGCTGACAGCCCCGCACAAGATCCGGGAAGAAATTCCCACCTGCTCCCAGGTGCCTGGCGCCCAGCGCGTCCCTGCCCGAAGTACCCGCCCAGGCGCCCGGTTACCTGTGCCGGGGTCTCCGGGCCATGGCGCGGCGGGCCCGGGCTGCGCGGAGAGCCGCGGGGACCGCACCGGCTACCGCCTCCCGCTGCCCTCCGCCTCGCCTGCGTCCCTCCCCGGCTGCGCAGCGGCGCTCCGCACCGCCGGGGCGAAGTTTCTCAGGAGAAAGAGGAGGAGGAGGAGGTCACAGAGGAGGAGGAGAAGGAGGAGGAGGAAACAGGTTAATATTAAAGTGTAAACTCTGTAAACAGAGATGCCATCAAACAAAGAGCTTTGGACACTCCCCCTCCCGCCAAATCTGGCGCCCCAGCAGTGCGCACGCGCCCTGCCTGCCGCCTCCGCGGTCGCCCTGGCTGCAGCCCGGGCTGCCGGGCCGCCGCTCTCATTCGCCTCCCGCGCCGTGGAGCTGCTCCTGGCGGGCCAGGACAGCGCGCGGGCAGAGAGCCGGGGCCAGGGAGGGGCGGGCGGCCGGCGGCGGCGCCTTTTCCTGTGCAAACCCCGCTCCGGGGCCTCTGCTGGCCCGCGCCTCCTCCCGCTGATGCCGCTTCCCCGGGCCTGGGCAGTGGCACCGAAGTCCCCCCAGTCCGCAGGCTGCCGGGCTCCTTCTCTCGCTGGCGCTGGGTGGGTGGGGGAAACTCCTGCTTTGGGGGTCGCATTTAGGGCAGGGGTTGAAACAGCTCCCCCTGGACATAGGAGAATTGAGGGGTGACCGGTTGAATAGAGGGTAGAAGTATAGTTTTTTTTTTTTTCAAGGATGATTGGCTAGGTCTTTTTCTTACACAGTTTTAAAAAGACATCTTTAGTTCACTTGTTAGTGACAAACGACACTTAAATACATGAGAACCTGTGGCTGTTGCCTCTGATCGATAGGGCCCCAGGCGGATCTTTTACTCCCCTCCCAGATCCTGCAGCCCACACGCCACCATCCACCACCGTTTTGTCACATGTCCTTCCTCTCTCACTGGGGCACACGCCCGGTCCCACCCACCCCGCCTGTCCCTGGAGGCACCCACCACGCACCTCTGCCTCCTGCATGGTGTGCATGCATCCCGGATCATACACCTGCAGGAAATCCACTGGGATCCGAACAGCCGGCCCCCTAGCAGATCGCAGGAAACCCCACGTTTGCAAGCATGATTTTCAAAGCTAAACACTTAGTACTGAGCCCTTGTTCATGGTGGGTGTATTTTGAGAACGCTCGATTTCACCAGCTACAAAGATGTTCCTGTTCCTTTAACTAGAGGCTCCAGAAGAGAGAGACGTGCTGAATTTATAAGGATTGGTGACTGGGGGATTTCGGGGGAGTTTTAGTTTTGCTTCTGTTTATAGATCAGTACCCTTGGGGATTTTTTTTTTTTTTTCATTCTCAATACACACCAATTTATTTTGTCTTTAATCTTTTAGGAGTTTGAGACTTCTGCTGACTGGGTTTGTGGGTGTCCCATGTGCCCTAGCAGTTCAAACTTAGCTCAGAAAGCATTTTTCTTGCTAAAAAAGCATGTTCTTACTAAAATGAGTCAGAATTTTATTAAATGGTGAAGCATACTGGGTTTCAAGACTATCTGGTGTTTGAAACGTTGCTTCTTAAAGTTAGCTATATAGTTTAAATATTTATCCTAAGATTTTGCAGGAAAAAAGTTATTGTGAGATGTTTCAGCTCACAATTCCTAAAGGCAAGTCACTTGCAAGTTAATATCTATTTGAAGCCAATATTTATTTCTAGATTCTATAATGAAGTTTCTTTCTTCACATTAAAAATAAACATTAAAAAATCCATGACAAACATCTAGAAACTACCCCTGAAGGTATAGCAATCTGGCTTCAGGGCTGTAATGGGCATGATTCCTATTACTGAACCTTTGAACCCTCCCTAAGGTGACTCTGTGTAGCCTCTTTCCCAAAGTACCTAGAAGGTAGAACTACGTTCTGATTCTTAACCAACTTTTAAATAGAAAAAAATACTGATTTCAAGTTTTCTTTATTCCTTTTGTTCATTTTGTATAAATTGCTTTGAGAATTCATAACATTCTTACTCCCCAGACACTTTGCTACATATACATTTTCCTTCACATGTATGAAAATTGTATGTGTGGAAGACATGCATAGTCCAATAAAGAATGAACACAACCATGTTATTTGGCAAATTTGTGATATATTGTCACCTCACAACAATATGGATGGGAAAAAAAGTCAAAAGGAGCTATCTAAACTCCTGTGTAGGTCTATTTTTAAAGACACAGAATGTCTATGGTCACAATATTTATACATTTCTCCCTACACTCACAATTATTGCGAATGCATTTTAGATGACCACTTACGTCTTCACCCTCAGTTGTTTTTGTCTGTTAAATCAGTTACTACAGCTGTGGCAGGGCTGGGACGAAAGGAAATTCAGATGCAACCTTTTATTTGGGACGCACTAAACAGGTAAGAAAACGTGAAGAACAAGAAACTAAAAATTAGATGTTTTAGACCTTTGTGATTGTGCTGCGTATTCTTCATTGATTTTCTTCATCCTCTCCTCTTCCTCTCTTCTTTTTCCTCAGCCTCAGGCCGCACTGATTCTCAATTTGGAACCACTGGATACAGCCAATAAAAATGCATAGTCCTAATCTGTCCACTGGTGATTTGTTTCTGTAGGTCTGGGACTGGGCCAAAGAGTCCACATCTCAACAAATACTCAAATGGTGTTCCCGGAAGAAAGCTCTGGGCCACTTGATAATCCTCATTGTTTGGTATGCTTTCACCTTTGCCAGTTTTCTTCTAGGCTTTTCCCTCTCTTTTTCCATTTCCGTGTCCTTCTCTTTCTCCCTGAGCCAAGGGTTCCAGCTCCCCATTGCTTAAAATCATTCAACTCCGTAGGAAAGTTGGTTTGAGTGACCAGAGGGCTATAGTGCAGCCGGTTCCTCTTCCTGTACTGCTAAACTTCAACCTCATATCTGAAACATGAAGAAAAGGCAATCACTGATCACTTGCTGGTCTTTATGATTCTCTCTCACAAGAAAAAGACTGCAAAGCATTTTGTTTTATTCTCAATGTTGGGGGGAGGCTAAAGGAAGGAATATGTAGAAAAGATCAGAATTTTAGCTTCTTTGCTTCTGAACTTTAATAACTGCAATCAGTATCTCAAAGATGAATGTTATCAGTGGCAGTAACAACAGCCCAGAGTTCAGCGGCTCCTTACCACCAACCTTTCCCACCCCCTCAACACAATTTGGTTAAAGGCATTAAAGAAGGAATAATTAGAGTAAATACCAAATGGTTAAAGAACAGACAATTCTTGAGCCTGTCAGTTAATGAAGAACAGCTGTAGCATGTATAATTGCAATCCATAGGTTTGAGATAAACCTCATATTGAGTCCCAACAAACTTTGTAATCATAACAATGGCATAAGTCCTCTCTTAGTGCAGTATGATTCATAGAGCCTCCATAAAGGATGGTAAGAAGTGATTCCTAGATTTGGCATATCTTGTTTGTTTCTACTCTGCAAATTATATATAGGCTTATATATTACCATAAAAACTAACCCAAATCTTTAAATTAATGTTTCAACTAAGTCTGGAATAAAACGTTTGCGATGGCCCGGCATGGTGGCACACGCCTTTAATCCCACTCGGGAGGCAGAGGCAGGCGGATCTCTGTGAGTTCAAGGCCAGCCTGGTCTACATAGTGAGTTCCAGAACAGCTGGGGCTACAGGGAGACCCTGTCTCAAAAAGACCAAAGGGGGAAAAAAAGTTTTTGAGTCTTTCTACAAACAGGAAGAGCAATTCGGAGGAAGGGGGAAATGTGAGCAAAAGCACAGAAACAGGAATCACAGAGCATGCTCCAAGCTTAGAGAGCATGGAGTTGTCCAATTACCTGGAGTAAGGAGAGCTTTGAAGGCTCTCTCTCTCTCTCTCTCTCTCTCTCTCTCTCTCTCTCTCTCCATGTGTGTGTGTGTGTGTGTGTGTGTGTTGAATGGACAGCTATTTTGCTAGAACTGTGCATTTGGAAGCTTAATCTAACAGGGTTGCCAGATAGATTGGCATAAAAAGACCTCGAAAGGAAGAGGCTAAGTTGGTTTGAAGGAAGACAGTAACCCAACTGAATTGAAAAGAAGGCAGAAAGGAGAGCATTGTAGAGGCAGAGCTTTTAAGAGTCAGCAGCTGAATGAATTGGTACTGGAGACACCATGAATAGAAATAGGGAAGTCAAGAGGGGAAGAGAAGTGTGCACTTGGACATTCAAAGAGGAAAGCGTTTTAGATTTCAGTATGTTAAGTTTGTGGTTTCTTATAGGAGAGTTTGGGTTAGGTTGTCCAGCAGGTGGTAGAGAGTGAGGGGTCAGAGCCTGATGGAGAGGGTGAGCTAGGACAGTAATGTGTTGGAGCTAAATTTCAACAACCAGTTGTTAGAGTGGCCATATAAAAAAGTAAACCATAAAGCTGGAGGGTAACTACTCAGTGAGAGTACTTGTCTAGCATGTGTGAGGCCCTGGGTCAGATTTCCACCACAAAAATAAATGAATAAATAACTTAAAGGTAAATATGTCTTAAAAGATAATATTCAAAATCTATCACTTTCAATTTTACTACATGTTTCTTGTGATACATCTCTATGGTGGAAATACTATGTAACATGCTGTTGTGTGTCTCTTTCTAATTTTGCTTCTAATGAATTATATTTGTAGCTTGAAATTGACTATGGTTAGAGTATTCACACCACAGGAAGTAGCATATTCTACAAATGAGAACTGTTTCCTCTGGAAAACTAGTTGTTCAACATTTGTTAATCAAGCACCCCATTCAATAGGAGTTTATTTGCATGAAGGTAATACTTGTGTCCTATCACAAACTTACTAATATGCAAATCTAATATAGAGAAACATGAGAGAAGGAAAGCCATGAAGAATATTTAAGAGGTTGACAGACAGGGCTGAGGCTGAGAGGTAGAGGCTAGGTGACAAGACCTATTGAGAACTAAAGAAAGTTTTATAGACATTTGATTTAGTTGCAATTTGTGTGTGTGTATGTGAACCCGGATTTTGTGAAGATTAGGCAAGTGCATTACCTCTGGGCTACATCTCCAGCCTTGAAGTTTTCTTTTAATATAATTTTTAACTTGATTTTAGAAGGTTTTCCTTTGGTTTGAGGAAAAAAAATATTTCTTGGGCAGTGACTTTCAAATGTTTTTCACTGTGTGTCAAAAGAAACACATCTTGGGGGCTGGAGCAATGACTCAGTGGTTAAGAACACT